GTAGGGCTGTGTATTGGCAAGGGCGATACATGGGTCACGATACAATGAAGTCAGCAGACAAATAAAATTCCAATTCCAATTTATTTTCTATCCATTTCAATTCATTAGAACTGCACAGTGTTATCGAACAGAGAACTCACTGAACTGTATTAAATGCATATTGTTATTTAACACTGAACTAAATGAATATGCCACTAAAGTCACATATAAATTAAATAAACAATTTATTAAGCAAGTTAAAAAAAATTAAAACGCATCAAGTAAACTTAAAACTGGAACACAGTGCTCTAATATGCAGTAAACTAGGCTATTAGAAACTGACAGTGCGACTGACAGCATCGTGAACATTTTGCTGTGAAAACTGGTCGCACATAGATAAATTGATGGCTTGCACGAAACATTTTACATGCCACATGCTGGCCAGCTTTGCTGCCATGGTCATGTTTGACGCGTTGTCTGTTACAACGACAGGTAATTCCAATTGATGTCCCATTCTTCCTATGCAGTTTTCAGTAACTCTGCTATGTTAGTTAAGGCAAACAGAAGCTTGTTGATGATGTTATCCAGTGTAGTTTGCCTTGAATCAAGAGGTTTCAGTTGAGGCCACAGTGCTGCTAAGTCATCTGCGTCGTGTCTTGTTAAGTGATAACACAAGTTCGTAGTGTTTCCCAAATATTTTAAGATAGATTTGCAAAGCTTGCAAATGGCATTTTTTGTCTAATTCAGTACTCTGGTATAGTGTTAAAGCCATAGTGCAGCCACACGTCAGCTCTAAAAGCTGGAGGCTCCTTTATATTTTCCACTATGCTCACATTGCTTACTGCTGATACCATACTACTCAAGCCTGGTTTATACTTCTGCGTCAAGTGACCGGCGTAACCCACGGCGCATGCAACGTGCGTAGCTGTGCATTTATACTTCTGCGCGCTGTCTCTGTCTGGCGGACGTGCAACAACTTTAACTATAAGGTAAACACAAAACAAAACTTTCCATCCGGAGCTCCTTCACGGCACTCCACACTTGTAAACAATCACTCCATTAGGCTCGCACCTTTAACGCGGCTCTCGGCCCCGCCCAGACTCGTCAGCGCTACCAAGCCGACCAATCACAGAGCTTGCGCTACGCGTCGTTGTGATGTGTAGTTACATTTTTTGAGAGGTGCACGTCAGCTACGCCGACGTACATACTGTACATACGCCAGCGTTTGACGCAGAAGTATAAATCAGCCTTTAGCGTTTTGTTAATAGCGAGTTAGCGACATCTACTGGAGCAAAGGAGGAGGTTGTTTGGCACAACATGAGTTGATACTTCAGGTTGGACTATCGATACACTATCGTGAAATAAATTATCGATAGATAGATATATCGATAGTTAGATATTTCAATATTTTTGCACAGCCCTATGTTCAATACTTGTTTTCCCCACTATGTCTTGAAATGTTGACCTGATTAACTTTCATTTGAATTATTTTGATTGTTTCGTTTGTTGTTCAGGTCTTGGTAAAACCATGATGCCACGGATGGAAAGTCTGGTGAGGGCTGTTAGCCTTCTGTACTTCCGTGCGTTTAAACATCAGACGGTCGACTACTTCAACTCTGCGATCGATGTCTTCTGGAACACTCCTGTAAATGCACCGTCACTTTTCTTCTACTCTGAGAACGATGCACTGTGTGATTACAAGAGTTTGGAGAAGGTGGTGGAGCTCTGGAGAAGCCGAGGTTTGACTGTCGAGAGCAAGAAGTGGAAAGAGTCCATTCATGCAGGTCATCTGCGCACACATCCTCAGGAATACCTCTCCACCCTGGACAACTTTGTGCAGTCTCTCAATATAGTGCCATTGAAGGCCAAAATGTGACTGGTCATCTCCTGTTTCCTTAATCATCAGAAGTTATCTAAAGTGCCTGGTTTTATATAGACATTCTCATGTATTTGGCTTCAATCTGTTGACTACATCAAATCTGTTTTTTTTTTCTGCCAAAAAATATTCACAGCTAGTCCAGAAGAAGAGTGAAAAGAGTTTTTTTTCTCTCTGAGATCATGCTGCTGGAGGGATGGAAGACTGTGAAACACTGCAAACAATCTGTTGAGGATGTGAAGTACCCTTTACAATCTGCCTGACCAGTTTGGTTTATTGCACTACAGCTCCTTGGGTGCTCCAATGTTTTGTTATGTGTGTGTGTGGGTGTTTGTATGTGTGTATATATGAGATACATGATAAGCACTTAAAGCATTTACACATTTAAAATGTCTAGCAGATCTTTGGGTAATACAGTAGTAAATCATATTATATACACACACACACACACACACACACACACACACACATACACACAAATACTTGAAATGATGTTTAATATCTAGTTTGTTCATCTGAATGCATTGTTTTCCTCAAAAGAACAACCACCCAAATGCTTGTTCAGGTTTTCAATGATGCATTTTTAATATAGTTTATATTCTTCACCAATCTGAATTAAATATTTAATATATTTTTCATGTTGTTAATATCACTGTTAAATCCTAACTGTAATGTTTTTAGCTAGAAGATATGGTGAATACAAGTTAGGTGAGACTCCTTTTGTATTACATATTTCTATGTTTTTGTTCTGTATAGTTTAATGGATATGATATTTTAAAATCCTATAGGGTACAGCATATGCCGAAGCATGCTAATAGGACTTTTAATTTGCCAGTAGCCTGGGTTAAGCGCTTCCGGTGAACTGTATGGCAATGCAAAATCGGCGCGTTTAAGGTCTTTTTTCTTTAAAAATCAGCGATCTCCACTGGCTGAGTGATATCTGAAATAAAGTGGGTCTCGGATTGTACAAGATTCATTGAATTACATTTTCCTCGCCATGTCTACAAAATGAGCATTTATTATACCCCACTATATTCAATGAAGCTTCTGCGCTAGCCTGCCGATCCTGACGGGCGCGTGCGAGTAAATGGCTTTTTGTGTCGTTTTACGCTTGAGCAACTAAATAAATGCCAAAGTCTGTTTAACTGATTGTATTGTAATTACATTACAACATCGATGCTGTAAAAGAAACCGTATAAAATGAAAAAAAAAAACTCACAATAACAATTTTTGTTTGTTTTATTTTACTCTCGACAAGGGTCTGTACCATGAAGCTGGATTAACCGGCTAGCCAGTTAAGTTCAGCACCAGTCTTGGGCTTTAGGTATCATGAAGGCAGCTTGACTTTAATCACTCTATGTTGCCGAGCAGATGACCTGAGCTTAGTTCATGGCACCTTAAAACCAGAATGGGCTATATACACAGCTAGTGTTTTCAGCCAATTATGCACTATTGGTGAAAGCTTAATGTGACTTTTAAGGTTCCTTTAACAGCATCGATGCTGTGATGTAGTTCAAATATAATCAGTTAAATAGACTTAGGCATTCATTTGGTTGTTAAAGCGTAAAAAGAGACGTAAGATAGTTTAAACTCCATTGAAACTACCGGGGTAAAATAAATTTCCATATTTTGAAGACATGGCGCGGTGAAACATAATTTAATGCAGTGCTTCTTGTTTGGTCTGAAACCCACTTTATATCGTATCTCAGCCAGGCAGTGAAATTGGCTGTTTTTTTTTTTGTTTTTGTTTTTTAAGAAAATCCGATCTTAAACGCAGCTATTTTGTATGGGATGACAATTCACTGGAAGCCCTGGGGCTGGCTGATTGAAATTAAAAGTCCAAGTGCATATACCTCATTGGTGGCTAGCTAACCTGACTTCATAGTAAAGGCCCCAGGTTTTGTCATAATTGCAACATAATAAAATGACAATTTTAAAATAAGTATAATCCAACGGCTCTTAGGTCTTCTCTACTTAAGCCATTTGACATTTTAAATTTCAAAACAGAGACATGATCAAATGACATAATATTGTGCTTTATTTGTTTATGCAATAATGAAAATTTTCTATGAATGGAAAAATGTTAATATAAGGTGAAACTAAAAGTACAATATGATAAAATTTGAATTAAATTACTTGATTTTTCAATGGTGCTTGAAGATTCAAAAACTGAATCCTTATTGAGCTGTAGTTGAAGACATTTTAGGCTAATTCTGTAATCGTTTAAAATGGTTACATTGTCTTAAACAATCATTTTACAATGATTTTTATTAACAAAACAAAGTGAAATTGAACTTGGTAAATTGATTTTAAATCATTATGATCCAGTAATCTCAAATGCCTCATGACAATGCTTTTCTAATAGTCACTTCTCACTGTCTGAACAATTACTTGTACTTGAATATTAAAATTGAAAACATGGGGAAACACATATATTTGTAGCTGACTTTGTAAGAGAAGAAAAACAACAACAACGCTGTACACTTTATATCTCTGGAGAAGGGTGAAGCCAAAATTTCCTGGGTTTTTGCGGACATATTGCGCGGATGACGTCATTTGGAGCCTGAGTTAGTGATCATGAGCTGGAGCATGGCCATCTAAATTCGGCTGAATCCTATATTAATATAGCCTAATCATGTATATAACTTAAAACAAATAGATACAGATACTTGAACTTAATGATAACGATAATAAACAAACTACGAAACCATCTTTAAGATTGCTTGAAGTAGCATTATGCAGAGCGCTTTATTTAACGACCTACAGCCACCAGGGGGCAATCGAAATAATTAGTTTCAGAACACTTCTAGCTGCATTTTAATCATTTGAGTTCGGGATAAACTATTAATTCCATTGTTAATGAAATAATGTTAGCTTAGCAGTTAGCTTTCTTTAATATAACTTCTTGACCGTGACAGTTTTCATGCGTTTCTGTAGATTATAAAATAAACACTGTAAAAATACCCCCTTTGTGCTTGTGAGAGCTGTGTTTCGGCCAGAGGCATGAGAGTTGCTTTACGCATGTGGAGGAATGAGAAAGTCCTTTCAGAGATGATCATGAGTGCAGGAGGCGTTGATGATCCGCTCCTCATGACCAAAACCCCTCTCAGACCATTGAGGTAAAGCTGGTTTTATATTCGCACATTCGTTCGGTGACAGCTTGTGACACACTCCCTTTATCGTTTACCATGGTACTTTATATGTTGGGTCGGAAATCTCACTTGGAAAACAACAGCGCTATTTAATAATTAACCGTTTACGGTGTTATAGCTACTTTGATAGTCGTTGGCTGCTAATATGAGTTCACCTTTTAAAAATATATATTATTAAGGATAAAGTCTGAATGTGTGAAATATAAAACCAACTTTACCTTAATCCAGAAACATGGATGATTTCAGGACGCGCTCCAGTGGGACACACAACACGCTGCTCGGAGAGACTTTCACACGGGTGAGAGCAGATTTTAAAAGTCCTTTTTGGTTTTATTACAACGTCTGTGATTATATTTAAGATATAATTTTGTTTATATTTTCTAGTGCTTTAAATATCGGCTAAAGGTTCCAGATAAATACACTTGAAGTCAGATATTTTCCCCATCTTCTGTTAAGACTTTTTTTCCAACACATTTCTAAACATATTAGTTTTAATAACTCATTTATTTTATCTTTGCCATGATGACAGCACATTATATTATACTAGATGTTTTTCAAGATATGTGTAGCTTAAAGTGACATTTAAAAGCTTATAGTTAACTTTGCAAGTTAGGGTTTATTAGGGAAGTCATTGCATAATGATGGTTTGTTTTTTAGACAATAAAAATATTGCTTAAGGTGCTAATAATATTGACCTTAAAATGGTTTTAAAAAATTGAAAACTACTTTTATTCTTGCCTAAATAAAACAAATAGGACGTTTTCCTGAAGAAATTTTTTTATAGGAATTACTGGGAAAAATTCCTTGATCTGTTAAACATCATTTATGAAATATTTTAAAAAGAATGAAAAACACAGGAGGGCTAACAGTTTTGACCTCAACTGTATTTAATGGAGCAAACTTTTTATTTATTTTATTTTTTAAGAAAAGTAATGTAGCATGTAAGTTTGGAAATATGGATAGTTTGAATGAAATAAAATTGTCTTAAATGTTTTTATTCTCTTTCAGCAAACAATTGCTAACCTGGCAATTGGTGGACTCACATCTTTGTTGGTCCTTGTGAGTATCTACTATTCACCACATTCAAATTTTGGCTTGACGTATAAAGGAGGATGTTGCATAGACGTTTGTTGTTCAGGACTAAAGACAAAAATGAGTTTTCAAGCATCAAATAAAACACAGCTTTATAATGTGCTCCCTATATATTTGCTTTTTTACTAAGCCTAATATATATAAATTTTTAATTTGTTTTATTTTACTATGATTTACTGAGGATATCAAACAAAATGTCATTCAGTGTAGTGTATTTTATGTACCTCAAAAAACAACAGGCAATCATTTGAAGACAAGTAAAAAATATTTAAGTGATCACAGTGCAACCTCAAAATACTAAATCATTATGTAATATCATTTATTCATTTTAAATAGGTATACAGTACTTTGCTGCTACTTTCTAATAATTATATCCATTTGTCAGCAATAATATTTTTAATAAAATATAGTAGCCTAATAATATGATCATTGTTTATTTTAATCATTCTAATAGTGCAGAGTAAGTTTTATTTTGACAAAGCCCTAACATAATAAATAAGCTTTGTAATTTTTATAAATATATATAAAATATAGTTTTATATAAAATATAAACCAATGTAAAATCACAAAAAGAAAAAACTTATTCCATTTGAATAAAGGAAGCAATTTGAGTACTGTAAAACCCAATAAGTTAAGGCAACTCAAACTGTTTGAGAAAACCAATTGCAACAAACCATGGGTTCAAAAAGTAATCTATACGAGTATGGTGAACTTACTCCATTTAAGTTGAAGTAATGAGTAGGCCCACCCGGAATCTGGGCGCGCAGAATTCCGCAGATTTTCTGCAGATTTTTAGCCCATAATTAATTCTGTTTATTTACTTGAGTAACTGTGTGTAAATCTATATTTATTCAGTTTTTTAATTAATTTCAGTAATATTATTGACTAATGTGAAAATGTTCATCTGATTTATGTACAATGCAGTTTGTACAGTAATATTTCTGTCTTTTACTAGAAATAATATATAACAAACTTGCTTTATTTACCAAATTAAGTGAATCTAATTGGATATGCATTTTAAACATTAAATAAAAGTTAAAAAGATATTATTTTTATTTCATATATTAAGGGTTTAGTTATGATACTCCCAAAATATTTCCGCAGAAATCTGCAGACTTTTTCCAAAATTCTCAGCAGAAATAACAAAAAACATCCGCAAATTCTGTCTGACCCTATGAGGTGTTTAATTAACTCATTACCTTCAACACTGATTTCAAAACTCTTTTCAAATGAGTTGAATTAACTTTTAGTCAATTTTCAGGTATCTACACATTTCATTTGATAAAGTTGACTGTCGGGTTTTACAGTGTATTTAAATATGACTTTACTATTACTAAAAATCCAAATTGATGAAAGTTGTACCTGAAATCAGAATAGATTTTTAAAATAAACATATTTCCTTTACAGGTAACTGTCATCAGTTCGTTCGTCTTTCCTACACCTCCTCCAATAGCTTTAAACATCTTCTTTGTGGTCTGCATCATAATGATCTGCTCCTCTGTATTGGTGCTGGTTAGTTCTCCTAACTGTTTTTTAGTGTCTGTTAGTGTCTGTTTTTAGTCTAACTGTTTTCTGTGTCGTTCATGAAAAACTGTTGTTGATCTGATCAGAAAAGATGGCTTCTCTGTTTGTTGCAGATATTCTGGTATCGTCAAGGTGACCTGGATCCAAAGTTCCGTGGTCTGATTTATTATTCCACAGGTCTCGTTGTCCTTCTCTGTTTATGTGCCAATCTGTACTTCCATGATGTCGGCAGATAAAATTATTCCAGCAGACCACTTTAAATAAGCAAATCTCACAAGAATAAAATGATTTTACAAATGTTTTGTTTGTTCAAATCTTTTAGTTTTTTTTCATTGATATTTAGACGATGTACATTTGTCATTGTTGTAATTTTCTAAATATCAATGTTTATGTGCTAAATACTTTTTGTGCATTATTTTTTGACATGCAAATGTAGCCTATTTCAATGTTTGGTTGTATTAAATTATATTGTGAGTTTTGTTCTATGAACAATGCTGGTGCCAAATATCTAAATCCTGTTAATAAATAAAATCTATGTGAAACTGAAGTTCTGTTTAATGAGGGCTATTTGTGACTATTGTGATGGGCCTGAGTTTGCAAATGAGTTTTTAAGAATTAAAATAAATAAGAAAAAACATTGACCAATTAAACCAAATTTGCAATAGTCTGATTTATACATGCCTTGTGACCGAATGATTCACAAATAATTTTTGTTAATGAATATCTAAGTAAAAGCGAACATTTATGTGCTGAAATTAGACATTGATTTTAAGTTTTCACCATACAAGCTTAGCATTTTTATGCTGATATTATTAGATTTTAAGTTTCCACTTCATTTTATAATTAATTTTGAATATTTAATTTTAGGTTGATATCATATGTTTATTTCTTATGGCATATATGTTTATGTAAATAATATGCATACTATTCATTTAAGGGATAGAAAGTATTTAGCATATTCATAATGGTTACGTTTTGTAATAATTACATTTTGATTTTCTTTTATGTGATTGTAGCATTTTTATATAAAATAGGCTTATATCATATGTTCATTTCTTATGGCAAATATTTTAATGGGAATAATATGCATAATATTGAAGTATAGAAATAATTTAGGATAATTATCATTTTTAAGTTTTGAAATAAATACATTTTAAGATTTCACTGTGAGTTTTAGCTTTTTATATAGAAATTGTTTAATTTTAGATTTATATGATGTTTTTATATGATGTTAATTTCCTATGGAATATAATATTTCAGGATTAGAAAGAATTTAGGATATTTATTATTTTTTAAGTTTTGAAATGATTACATTTTAAGTTCTGATTTTGTGATTGCAGCACTTTTATATGAAATTGTTTAATTTTAGCTTTATATCATATGTTTATTTCCTATGTTTTGTATTTATTTAAGGATTAGAAAGGATTTAGGATATTAATCATTATTAAGCTTTAAATTAATTACAATTTAAGTTTCCACTGTGATTTTAACCTTTTAAATAGAAATGATTTAATTTGAGGTTTATATTATATTATGTTTATTTCTGAAGGCAAATAATATTTATTTAAAGTTTGGAAAGAATGTAAGATATTAATATATTTTACGTTTTGCAATAATTATTGTAATTGTAAAAGTTTTGAAATAATTACATTTTAAGTTTCCACTTTGTAACGCCAGCACTTTTTTATGGAATGATTTAATTTTAGCTTTATATCATATGTTTATTTCTTATGGCATTTCATGTAATGGAAACAATGCATAATATTTATTTGGGGGTTAGAAAGAATGTAGCATATTAATTATTTTTAAGTTTTAAAATAAACACTTCAAGTTTTCACTATGTGATTAAAATTACATGTTAAGTTTTCACTGTGATTTTAGTTTTTTTTTTTTTAATTGAAATTGTTTAATTTTAGGTTTATGTCATATGTTTATTTCTCATGGCATATTTTTTGGGAATATGCATAATATTTATTAAATGATTTAAAAGATTTTAGGATATTATTTAATTATTAACAATTAATTATTGATATTCCTTCATATTTCTCTGTAACGACTGACATCTAGTGGTGTGTAGATGATTAACATTTGCAACCCCTTTCTATTTTTTTAATTGAATGCAAAAGCAATATCCTGTAATTGTTTTGTGCTACACTAATTTATCATGACATACTGTGCATATCAGTGCGTTTGAGTCATGCAATTTATTTAATGATCACCCACTTAAAGTAAGCTATTAAATCTGCTGAAGATATGAAGGCTTTTATTGTTATGCTACTCCTTTGGTCATGTTTTGGGTAAAACAGCTGTGACGTATTTTCTAAGCCTTCAAACAGGCTCCGTCAGATGACGTTCCGTGTTGACGTCGCTCTCTGATTTGATGGGACGGTCCCGTTAATCCGTTCGGCAAGCAATGGAGCGCACGAGGAGCATCATCGTCCGCCACAGAGAGCGTTTTATACGGAATTGTTTAGGATGGATATTTTGGGTTTTCATCCTGAACGCGTTCGTGGCGTCTTCGGTTAACCTGCGTCAGTGTAAAGAGGTGAGAGATCATTCCTGCTGCTGCGTTTATTGTTGACGTTCATTGTGTTTGATTCACTCATTCAGTTTGTATAACTGTTTTTGCACACGTTTCTGTGTTTAAAGGGTCTGAGTTGTTTGACATGCGTTTATTTGTACTTTTGGGGTCAATCTGGTTGCTGACACGTGCTGACACTCATAATATCCAAAGTAACAGGTGCGCCAGGTGATCACTTAACCATAGAGGGTCAAACTATGAATTGAGGAAAATTTGGGTTTATATTCGCACATTTGGACTTTTTCCTTCATAATATAATTTCAGAAAACTATTCTAAATGGTCAAATCTTATTATCAGCCAATGACTATCAAAGTACAACAGTCAATTAATTGTGCTAATGTTTTGAAGTCGTACTTATACTATTTTAGACCCAATATTCAGAATAGCCTGTAAAATATAGCGAGCGTGTCACAAGTTGTCTAAAATGAACTAATGTCCGAATATAAAACCAACTTCACCTCAATAAGTTATGGTCCAATAACTAATATTTGCCATACATGGAATTTAATTAAACAAAATGTAGTTTATAGTGGAAAATGGTTCTTTAGATTTACATTTTGGGTTTGACATTTAATATTATGTAAAAACATTTTACAGTGACGTTTTTGGTTTATTTAATAGTATGTAAAAATGTGAAGAACTTAATTTTAGGTATTTCTTTTGAGAAAATGGTTCTTTGAGTAACAAAAAAGGTTCTTATATGAAATCACAAACACCTTTTGAGTATATTTTAAGAGTACATCAAGAAGTTTACCATTTAATTCTACAAAGATACAGCGAAAATGGTTCTTTAGATTGACATTTTGGTTTTGACATTTAATTCTAGGCTATGTAAAACATTTTATATGACATTTTTGGTTAATTTAAAAGTATGTAAAACTTTATTGAAGAGCCTATTTTTAGATTTATTATTAATATATTTTTTAAGAAAATAGTTCTTCGAGGAACAAAAAAGTTTCTTATAAAACCACTTACTTTAAAAAATATATTTTAAGAGAAAATTGAGTTTACAAGTTTACAATTTAATTCTACAAAAGGTAGTTTACATAGAAAATGGTTCTTTAGGTTGACCTGCTGGTTTTGAAATTAAATGGTGTGTAAAAAAATATAATGGGTTTTTTGCTTTATTTAAAAGTAAGTAAAAATGGTTCTTGTATGAAATCACTAACACTTTTTTTAATTATATTTTTAAGAGAGCATCAAGAAGTTTACAATTTATTTCTACAAAAACTACTTTACTGTGGTAAATGGTTCTTTAGATTATGACCTTTTAGTTCTAGTAGTTAAAAAATGTTTTTATTGAAGAATTTATATATATATATATATATATATATATATATATATATATATATATATATATATATATATATATATAAACTTATATACCCAAAATACTTTTTATTTGAAACCACTGACACCTTTAAAAACATATTATAAGAGTGTACCAATAAGTTGCGGTTTTTAAAAAAATAATTATTATTAGATTAAATATTTTACTTTTAGCAAAATAAAAAGGTTTAATTTAAATGAAAAATATATATTGTATGAATTGGATGGAAACCCTGCCTTCAATTAAATTAAGTTAGTCCTTTTTCTTGTATGTGTCTGAATTAAGAAGAATTCTTTAATAGGAATATTAATATATTTAGTTGCTATTTGTGTGCTGTATCCCTTTGTCATTTAAAACGAAATCTCTCTGGAGAACTTCTAAACATCTTTTGATAAAAGACGGTACTGCAAGAGTCTTCTCAAAGAGTTTAAATCATAGTCACTTTTGGATATATGGAGCTTATCGCTGAAGATTAGATTTTCATAAATCAATGTATCCAAATCTATGTTGTGTAGAGGATAAATGACTTAAATAAAACTGTTTCAAACTGTTTTAGAGTCACAAACATGTTAAGATTTTAATAAGAAAAACAATACTTGTATTAAATATCCATGTTCACATTTTTGCATGATGTATCAAATTAATGGCCTTCTGGTACATCACATCTCATGGTGAATGATTTATTATTATTTTAATAGCAGATGAGTTATTATTGATTTGATAATATTTATGTTTTGTTAGATTTTAATTTAAACCTTTTCTGCTAAACATGTCTTGGTATACGTGTATTGTCATTGCTATACCCCATTATTCAGGCCCCCAGCAGTTTTAAATACAAGTCTATTCTTTTGTGTTTGATTGTAACATGTTTTTCCAAGCTCTCCAACTTGCATATTGATTTAGCAGCTGATATGCTTTTTGTCTGGGTATATTGATTGGTGTCAGATTGCTGTTGGGCATCCCATTTAAAATATGCTTTTCTCATCTCTTAAATAGTGTGCCAGAATCCACCCAGGGTGTGTGTTTAATCTCTAATGCTATGCTAAGGGCTCAACGAGGTTCCAGTGGAGTGCTGAGTGGTGCTTTTCTCAGAGATGGTGAGCCCTGCATGCCCATCTCAAGAGCCTGGTGATATGATGCTAAGAATAGCCGCTCTGAAATGGCTTTCACTGAGCGCTCAGCACCTCCTCTGGACTTTGTGCATGGAAAAACTGTGACTGTGAAATCATTGTGTGTCCCATAAAGCAAAAGATTGACTACAGTGTCTGTCTATTGCAGAATTGGATCTATTTGGCTCAGGAATATATAAAAAATGAGATGACTGTTCTTTTAAAGGTGGTTCAAAATGGCATGGGAATAAAAAAACAAGTCAATTATAAAATGCTAACAAGCCGAAATATATTAATATGAGTTTCTTAATAGGTTTTAGGAAATTACATACAGTACATCTACGTTTTGTGTTTACTGTGCACATTTGATTTCTCATTAGACAAGATTTGACAGTCTTAAAATATTGAATCTTTGTAATCGACTAATCGGGGTCAAGTTAAATAGCAATGGATTTACTACATGCTTTGACTAGGGTTTCGTGTGGTAATGCGTGTTAAATCTGAGTCTAGAGCTTGTTTTATCCTGTGTCTTTGCCCTGCCGTACAGTGTGTTGACCCGCAGGGCATTCTGGGTTTTATTATCAGCTTCCTCCTGATGGCTTTCTTTCCTTCCCGATCACTCAGTCTGT